ACTTCCTGGATATTGAAATTTATTTATTTATTTATTCATTCATTCAGTCTTATTTATTTATTTATTTATTTATTTATTTATTTAATACAGGGTCTTGTTAGGCAGTTCAGTCTCTTAGTGATCCTCCTGTCTCAGCCTCCCAGGGCTGGGATTACAGGCATGTACCACCACGCCCAGTTTTGGGGGCCCACACAGTGCCCCCAGGGTTCTGGGGCCAAACGGCATGCAGTACTGGGGATTGAACCCAGGTCCTTGCCCTTGCGAGGCAGGTGCTTATGCTGCTGAACTGTCTCCACAGCCCTAAATATTGGAATTTAGATAGGTTCATTTTAGGCCTTTGTACAAGTGATGTTATAAACCCTGAAGCACACTGAGAAATGATATCTGTTTGTCAATCATCAGTGATGGTGAGACTGTCTAGGTGACAGATAAAATCTTGGTTCCACCCTGGGACAGTCACGCATTTCCCTTGAGGATAGAGAGGAATCTACGCAGTATTATTTTTGGCGCTCTGTGAACCAGACATGCCCATTATGCTAATAATGATTTTAACCAAATGATTATTACTGCTTGAATCAATCATTTTGAAATGGTTGCAAAATACTGAGTTTGTAAACCTGGTTTTTTTCTACGTTTATTTATTAGTGTTCTTTTTGTCAAATAATACTTTCTTTCATTAACTTGACTAACAGGTTATCCCAAAATATAATTCTTCCTAGATTGCAATATATTTAGTATCTCCCCATGTCCTACATAAGTGATAGCTCTTACTATGTGGTTCAGGCTGGCCTTGAACTCACTGTGCAGCCTAGGCTGGCCTTGAACTTGAAGTGATCTTTCTGCTTCAGCCTCCTGAGTGCTGAGATTGCAGGTGTGTGCCACCACGCCCCATCCATAGTCCCTTCTAATTACCAATTTTTTTAAAAAAGAACTTTTTTAGGAGTTGCTTCAAATGTTGACAAAAGCCTATCTTCTTGAGTATCACTGTGGACACCTGGATTTTTATAAATTCAGTGTAATTAAATCAGTACTCTCATTATTTTCTCTAATAATCAGATTTTCACAGCATTTGCCAAGTGGGCAGCTGTGTCTTTTTAAAATAAGTATATATAATATAATATATATATACATATTTTGCAATTTTAAATAAAAAATTTAAAAACAGCAATTGCTTATGTAACTTTGACCTTAAAAGCTCTCTTGGCTTCTGGCGTAAAGAGTCCCAGACACACACTGTACCTATTCATCTCCAGACTTAGAATTTGTTGCTTCTTTATGAGGGATTAGAAATGCGTATCTGGGCACAGGAAGTGCTTATTATTATCGAATGACAGGTTTCTCAATCACTCAGCAGACAGAACATGTAGAGAGGTGATAGATACATAGATAAAGTAAAAATTGGGACATTTATTGGGAATCTCTTTGTTTCTTTCTTGTTTGGGGGTTGTCATGGGTTTGAAGCAAGGGCCTTTACTACCCAGCTCCATCCCCAGATATTTCATTTTTTTTTTAAATTTTGAGACAAGATCTTACTAAATCCCTAGATTGCCCCAGTGGGGCTCCAAATTTTGATCCTACTGCCTCAGCTTCCCAGGGTACTGGGATTAGATGTGCGCACTACAATTTACTTTAGAATCTGTTTATTTATTTGAGCTCATATTTGCATCTCATTTCTCCTACCTTGAAAAATCTAAGAGATTTTACCTATTTGCTGTATCTAATCATATATTTAAAAAATACTATCAAAACAACAATATCACTATTAGCAACAACAAAACTACTGAATGAAACTAAAGACCCCTTTAGCTTTGTGCAGTGGCAGTATTATAGCCAATGAGGTTTATCCAAGGCATGATTATTACTAATTGAAATTAAACACCCTTTTATCAGTAATTATAGTTGTATCAAAAGACTTCAGATGCTGACTTGAAGAAGCTTCCACTGCACAAAATACAGGGAAAATCGGGAACATTGTTGAGGGCAGTAACTACAAAAGATTGAAATACAACAAGTGTATCTAAATCCATCATAAGGATAATATTTTGGAGAATTTTAGGCAACTGAGTTATTATTTTAAGAACCGATAAATAAAGGACAAGAATGAAGTCTTTCTTCTGTCTTTTCTATACAACCAAATACTTGGGGAGGTGAGTTTCTTTCTATAAAAAGGTTCCAGCTAAAATTAAAAAAGGCACAGACACTAGACTATGATGATACTGTAATTCCTAGTGAGTGGACGGATCTAAAAAGAATTATATAGATAGATCTCTTGCAAGTGGGAAGGGGACCAAGGAGCAGGGAGGAACAGGAAAGAGAGGAGAAGGTAAGGTCAAAAGAATTAAGATGGGTTATGTGCATGCACCAACTCCCTGTGAGTGTAATCATTATATACTGAAGACGTGTACTAATTTAAACTTTGTAAAATCTAAAAACTATAAATAGTTGTTGATGCATGCTCCTATTACAAAAAAGCAGAGGTATCTAGGCTCTACAAGCCTTCTGATGACAGCATACAACTGTCACCCATGGAGTACTGTCCTCCAAAATAGAATGTGACCCAGGCATGGTGTCATAGGCCAGTAATCTCAGCACTCAGGAAGTTGTCAGAAGGATCGCTATGAGATGCAGGCCAGCCTGAACTACATAGACAGCCCTGTCTCAAAGAAAAAAA